CAAGAGCAGCAGCCAGGGGATGGGCGTGGCCCGTCGGGGCCAGGACTCAGCAAGAATCCTAGCGGAGAGGGCTAAGCCTCGCAGGCGGAGTTGGGTCTGACAGGTGCGGGCCCGCCTCAAGAGAAGCCCAACGTGGGCGGGGAACTGAGGGGTGTGGCCCTGGTGGTAGAGTGTCGGTGGCTGGAGTCTATCCACAGACTAGGCATAGAAGTGGGCGGGGCATAGACGTGGAGGGGCTGTCCCCAAGGCTGAGTCTTGCAGTACACGAGCCAGGGCCAATCAGATGAGAGCACGCGGTTGGCTGGCCCAAGAGGTGTGGGGTGGGGGCTAGATGTGAGGGGCCTGACAGGAGTCAGGCTGGCCTAAGAAGCCCAGAGGAGCAGGAAAGGGCCTTAAGTCCCACCATAGCCTCCCCTATAAACATACATCTCCTTTCCCCGAACTACAAGAAGAAAATGTCTTCTTGCCCTCTGTGGTTAAGAGAAAAACATCAGCAGCTGGTTCTACTCCCACCTCCACTTTCTAGACTGTGACTCCCGACCTCAGTTTTCCCGTCTGTCAAGTGTGTGCCCATGTTTTTGCTTTTATTTTTCTTGTTGTAATTTTGGGGGCTGGAGAGATGACTCAGTGGTTAAAAGCACTTGTTCTTGCAGAGGATCTGGGTTTGAGTCTCAGCACCCACACGGTGGCTCACAACCATCCATAACTTCAGTTCCAGGGGACCTGACCCCCCCTTCCTACTGCATAAGGCAGCAAGAACCAATATGGACAGACATACTTGTGAGCAAAACACTCATGTAAAATAAAATTTTAAAACTAAACAAATTTTATTGTTTTTCAGACAAGGTCTCATTTAGTCCAGATTTGCCTGAAACTCTCTATGTAGCCAATAATAAATAATAGACTGATCCTTCTGCCTCCACCTCTCAAGGTCTGGGATTGGAGGTGTGCAAAACCATGCGTACTTTAGGTGGTGCTAGGAAGGAGCCCAAGCCTTCTTGTATACTAAGCAAGCACTCTCCATCAACCCCCCCCATTTTCTTTTAAGTGCTGGGGGTGAAGACCAGGACTTCATGACTGTCAGGCACACTCCCTGTCCCACATTGCCCTGAGGGGTGCTGGGCTACTCTATTCAATACGCTTGAGGTTCTCCTGGAGTTAAAACACGTTTTAAAAATGAGGAAACTAAGGATCAAAGAAAGGCAGATATTTGTCTGAGGCCACACAGCAAGATTTGGAATTCAGAATAATACTGGGAGGCCATCAAAATGGATCTGTGGGCAAAGGCACTTGCCACTAGGAAAACCCACGGATTCCAGGGACCCATTGCATAGAAGGAAACCCAATTCCCACAAGTTCTCTCCTCTGACCTCCACATACATACACATATTTAATAAATACATAAGTGTAAAAAAAAAAAAGAAATTCAGGCACGGTGGCTTACACCTGTAATTCCAGCATTTGGGAGGTGGGGGAAGGCAAAAGATTGGGAGTTAAAGGTCATACTCAGGTATATAAGTTTAAGACCAGACTGGGCTATACAAGACGCTGCCTCAAAAGTGTGTGTGTGTGTGTGTGTGTGTGTGTGTGTGTGTGTGTGTGTGTGTGTAGGTGAGATGATGTGCATGCCTCTAACCCTAGTACCTGGGAAACCAGGGCAGGAGGTCTACCATAAATTTGGGGCTAGCCTGGACCACATAGTAAGTTTCAAGTCAGACTAAACTACATAGTGAGAACCTGTCTCAAAACAAAAATATTCAGAGACTGATGTAATTAGTGGCTCACACCTGTAAGCTTAGCACACGAGACGCTGAGGCAGGAAGATTGTCATGAGGTTCAGGCCAACCTGAACTACAGAGTTCCCCAGAGACCCTGCCTCAAAACACAAATGGTCACGTGTACACACACACACACACACACACACACACACACACACACACACACACACACACACAGAACTCTCTGCTCACCTAGACACCTCAAGGGAACAGCTGAGCTGTCTCCAAAGCTCTAACACATATGAGTTGAGGTGGAGTGTGTTAACTAGAACTGAGTTATTCTCAGAAACAAGCAGCACCCAAAGTCTCCAGGATACCACTCAGCTAGATTAACATCTCAGGATTGATGCTGTGGACTAGGGAAAGATGAAACAAGCTCTATCCTGTCTTGTAAACACATGCCACTTCTGCTCACATCTCATCAGCCAAAACAAGTCAAAATGCCAGTTACAGCATCAGGATAGGAAATTCAATTGTGCCTGAGAGGTGGGAACCTGCTGTTCTTGCAGCAACACATAGTAAGGGCAATGGTTAGCACCATGCCAGGCATACAGCAGGCACTCAAATAAATGGTCATTATTAGAGAAGACATGCTGGAGCTGCAATAGCTCACACTCCAAAGTATCATGCAACAGGGATGGGGAAACTTGAGACTGAGTGCTATACTAGTGTGCACGATACACACACACACACAAAAAAAAAACAAAACAAAACAAAAAAAAAAACCTGGCTTCTCTCGGGGTCGAAAAAAATTACCACAGCCATCTCCAAAGAAGCATTTATTGACACATAGGGCCCATGTTAGAGGCTCCGGAGCCCCAGAGCAAGGCCAGCAAGGCAGAGCCCATTGCTCAGCAGGCAGCCCAGGTTGCAGAGAGAAGATAGGCCATGGTAGTGGAAGAATTTCTGGCGGAGAGCATTGTACTTGGGGTCCTTCTCCCGCAGCTGGCGGTAGGGGTCGGGACCCCTGTGGCTGCCTGGCACCTCTGTCCCCAGGCCTCGATCTTTCTCCACAGTCTGCAGGGCCCACATGACGGCCGTGGTGCGGGCCTCCAGCCAACGGGCATTGATGGTGGCCAGTGTGAGGCTCAGTAGCAGTAGAGCAAGCTGAGGACAGTTATGGGGAGGCAAGGTGAGAGGGGCTGAGAGGATAGAGGAACCCGAGAGAGGGTATGCCTGCATCTTCATAGCTTAGAGAGTTCCCTGCACCCAGACGGGAAACCCTGAAAGTAGGTGTCCTTAGGAAAGAATCTATGGCTTTTTCTCTCTGTTCCCTGGGTCCAGGGCACAGTCTGCTCTCCTACTGTTCCTTGAACACCAAAACTTCTTCAAAACGTGTTTTTTGCAGTATATAGGATGGATCTTCAGGCCTCAGCCATCTTTTCACTTGTGTGCATATATAGTATGTACATTTATTCATGTATATGCTTGCAGGTGCACATGTATGTGTGTTTCTGTGAAGGCCAGAGTCTGCCTTTGGGCTTCCCACCCTTTGCAGGGTGAAAAGTGTGGTTTCTCACCCCAGCTGTCCTGGAACTCACACTGTAGACCAAGCTGTCCTTGAACTCAGAGAGGCCCCTGCCTCTGCCTCCCTAGTTCTGGGATTAAAGGCATGCGCCACCACTTGGCCCTTTCTCTTTAAAAAAAAAAAAAAATCTATTGCGTGTGTGTGTGTGTGTGTGTGTGTGTGTGTGTGTGTGTGTGTGTGTGTGTTAACATTTCTTGGTGTGTGTATGTGCACACTGGAGTACCTCTAAGGAGTCATTTCTCTTCTTCCTCCTTGCAGACCCTCAGGGACCCAACTCAGATTATCACAGGCTTGGTAGCAAAGGTATTTGCTGCTAAACCATCCACCTTAGTTTTTGAAATGGTGTCACTTGTTGATCCTAGAACTCCCTCATTCAGCTGGACTGACTGGTTGGCCTGTCTCTACCCTTGACTCCCACCCCTCCAAATGTTGGGTAATTCCTCTGTTTGGTATGTGAATGGATGCTGCAGATTCAAACTCAGGTCCCCATGTTTCTGCTGGAAGCACTTTTCTGCCCAAGTCATACCCTAGCCTCTACTCTTTTCACTTTGAGGCAAGGTCTCACTAAGTTGCCTGGGCTGGAGTGGAACTTACTATGTAGCCAGGGCTGGCCTTGAACTTGTGCAATCTCCCTGGCTCATCCTCCTACATCCTTGGGTGATGAGTGCATGTGCACATCTGTGTGGTGTGTGTACCACAACACAGGGCCGAGAGATGACTCTTGATACACCCATCAAGTCTCACCTGCCCACATCTGAAAACTTCAAGAGCAGAGGGAGGGAAGGGTAAGGAAATCTGAACTTCAAGAAATGTTCCTTACATTGTGGCTGAGGGAATGTGTAGATGGGAGTGGGGAAACCCAAAATCCCAGTCTGGCTAGTTTTTACACAATGAACTCAGGTCAGAAGCTCAGCTCAGCTGAGTCACTCCAGTTTGGCAGGAGGCCCAGCTATTGGGCAGAGAGGAAACAGGAGCCAATGGGGAAGATAAGGCTGTACAGACAGGGCTGCCAGGGGGTAGCTATGCAGGCTGTGTGCGCTGTTCAAGGACACCCAGTGACCAGCTCTGTCTTTACCAGGAATAAGAGGCATTTCATTTCCCCTTTCAAAACAATGTCATTTGAGCTAGTTGTGGGATACAAACCAGGAGGATATCCTGAAACGGGATATCACAAGTGGAAACGGGAAAATCACAAGTTTGAGGCCAGCTTGGGCTACACCTTTGGGGGTGTAGAGATGGCTGGCTTGGTAGTTAAGAGAGAATACTGCTCTTGCAGAGGACTGAGTTCAGTTCCCAACACCCACTTTGAGCAGCTCACAGCTGTCTATAACTACAGTTCTAGGGGGATTTGTCACCTCTGGCCTCTGAGGGTACCCACACATACATGCACATACCCACACACAGACAATAAACACATAAATGAAAAATAATAAAAGCTGGGCAGTGTGGTGCACACCTTTAATCCTAGCACTCAGGAGGCAGAGGCAGGTGGATTTCTGAGTTCAAGTCCAGCCTTATCTACAGAGTGAGCTCCAGGACAGCCAGGGCTACACAGAGAAACCCTGTGTCAAAAAACCAAAAAGAAAATAACAAAAAAATATTTCCACTGGAGGGTTGGTGACGTAGCTGAGTTGGCAGGGTGTCTGTGTGTGGTAGAACATGCCTGTAATTTCAGGAGGCAGGAGGACCAGAAGTTCAAACTCATCTTCCACATACTGAGTTCAAGACCCTGTCGGAATAACTCCACTCTCCGAGTAGGACAAGAAGATGTACCTGTAGAGCACATGCCTAGCATGTGCAAGGCTCTGGGTTTCATCCCCAGCACTATGAAGAATAACATCAAATGAGGGGCTGGGAAGATGGATCAGTAAAGTGTTTGCCACACAAGCATGAGGACCTGAGTTCACAGCATCCAAGTTAGAAAGCCAGGCATGGTGGCTCATGCCTGTAACCTCAGTGCTGGGGAGACAGAGATAGAAGGATCCCTGGAGATTGCCAGCCAGCTCATCTGACCAAATCAGTGAGCTTCAGGTTCAATGAGAGACCCTGTCTCAAACAACAGCAACAACAGGTGTTGGTAGCACACGCCTTTAATCCCAGGACCCGGGAGGCAGAGGCAGGCGGATCTCTGTGAGTTCCAGGCCAGCCTGGTCTCCAGAGTGAGTGTCAGGACAGCAGGGGCCACACAGTGAGACCCTGTCTCAAAGGAACAAAAATAAGGTTGACAGAGGAAGACACAACATCGGCCCCCGCCTCTACACGATTGTGCACATGTGCACACAAATGTATACACACACACATACACACACACACACACACACACACACACACACACACACACACACACAAAAATAAATAAATAAAGCCCCCCCCAAAGCCCCTCATGGAGTCTTGGGGACAAATCTTCAGAGAATGGTAGCCCTCAAACCCTCATACCTGACTGGCCTCCCAGAGTGAGAGGTGGATCCAGGCTCGCTGTGGAGCCAAGATGCAGAGATTGATGAGGGCACAGCCCAAGGAGACGTGGAAGTAGACGGGGAAGAGCTTGCTCTGTACCAGCCCGAAGGTATGCCGAGGGAGGCTCCGGAAGAGCACGAAACCTGGGAAGTGGAGGGCCACAAACACCCATTAGGACCCTTCCAGGTTCCCCTCCCACTCATCCCCCACCCTAAAGAACAGATTGGAGGTCCCTACCTGAGGCAAAGGTCACCCACATCTGCATGCCCCAGGCACCAGACAAGACCAGCAAGTGGACCACTTTAATGAAGCTTCCTGGATCCTCACCTTCCTCCATCCTGTGGCCCTGGGAAGGAAGCACCAGTGACTCAGCTTAACCTTCAACCTTTGCCCCTAGCTTTGAGACCTGGCAGAGAATATTTAGGGCCAGCCTCACACTGTGCAGAGATGAGGGAAAACAGCCTGGAAACGGCAGTGGGAAAACCCAGAGCAGTCCCTGGACAGTCTCAGCCTAGCCAGCCCACTTGAGCTCAGTCTCGGGGCTGGAATTGTGGCTTTGTTGTCGGAGACTTGGTGTTATCCTCACACTCCCCAACACTTGCAAAATAATAGAGCTGCGCGCACGCGCGCGCACGTGTGTGTGTGTGTGTGTGTGTGTGTGTGTGTGTGTGTGTGTGTGTGTATAAAATGAAAACAAACAATCTCAGCCCAATGTGGAAGCTCACACTTGTAAATCCCAACACTTGGGAGACTGACACGGGGACTGCCATTCCTCCATTCCAAAAAGCATTTAAAAACAGAGACTGGCCTGATGAATCACACTTGTAATCCCAACATATGGATGATGCAGGAAAATCGTTGAGTTTGAGGACAGCCTGGAATACAGTGAAACTATCTTAAAACAAACAAACCAATAGCTTAGGCTCCGGCCGGTCGGGAAGGTGACTCAGCTGGCAGAGGCTTGCCTCACGTGCAGGAAGCCCTGCGCTCCAGCTCCTGCTCTGTATAAGACAAGCACAGGCTCTTTTGTGTCATTCCAGCACGAAGAGGTACAGACAGGATCTGGAGCTGGAGGCCAACCTGAGATACATGAGACCTTCTGTCTCAAAAACAAACAAAATTCTAGAACAAATGATCTCAGGCTTTCTCTAGACTACAATATCAACTGCACTTTACAGAATCCCAAAAGCTTGAGTCCCAGCAGCTCAAGTTCTCATCCCTAAGTCTTCAGGGATCATCCAGGCTCTGCAGACAACAAGAGCCCTCATCTAGAAACACGAGACATTATAGAAACATCCCAAAGCACCCCCAGGACCCCCATATGACCCCACCGTTGGAGCACGCGAGGTCAGGGGTGGGGACCACGAACCCGGGCAGCTCCTGTGCAGCTCTGGCTCTCCAGACACCTCTCGGGTTTTTTTCCGCACCACAGGCCTCGCCCCACCTCCCAGCCAGCCAGAAGCCAATAAGATCGTACATTTGACACCTCTGGACCCACCCACTTAGGGATTGCCCAGTCGGCTTGCGGGAATCATCCTGCCGTCCCGCCTCTCCAAACTTCATCCAGTCACACCAAAGATGCTCAGGCGCCAATGAGCTCCGCGCCTGACCTTAGAGGGCGGGCGGGGCTTAAGTGAAGACCACGCCCTTCTCTATGACTCCACCTTCGGCCACCTTGCGTTTTCCAGCGATGGTGTCCCCACGGGATCAAAACTTTTTCGTCACAGCTGGGGACTGGCTTCGTGGTCCCTGGTGGGAGAGCATGAACAGGTGGTATGTGGTAGGTGTGGGATATAAAGGGGTTTGGGAGACTGGCCGGGTGTAAGATTGGCAGTTCAGGGGCGGGGCTAAACCAGTGGTCACGCCCCCTTGCTCGAAGAACTCTCTGGAGAAGGGGACGTAGGAAGAATCAATTGAGGTGGGGGTAGGGCGGGCATGGTTAGATATCTACCTTCTCTGACGCTCTGAAATGCCTCTTTCCTTTCCCCCTCTAACTCTTCTGGGGCATTTGTGGTCCTCAGGTGACATTCTAGAACAGATTCTCTTTTGCCAAGCAATGGACCAAATCTGTGTAATCAGGACAGCCCAGTAAAGTGATATGATGATTTTTTTTTTTCCTAGACAGGTTCTCACTGTGTAACCCTGGCTGGCCTGGAACTAGCTTTGTAGAGGCTGGCCTGAAATTCAAGGATCCCTGAGTGCTGGGATTAAAGGGGTGAACCACCACAGCTGATTCTTTATGTGGTTTTGTTGTTTCAGATTTTAAAATCTTGTTTTATGTATATTAATGTTTTGCTTGCATGTATGTCTGTGCACTACTTTCGTGCCTGGTACCTGCAGAAGTTAGAAGAGGGCCTCAAATCCTCTGGGGCTGGAGTTACAGAAGGTTGTGGGTCACTATGTGGGTGCTGGGAATTGAACATGGGAACTGGAAGAACAGCCACTAAACCAATTCTCAAGCCCCCCTCCTTTTTTGTTTGTTTGTGTGTGTCGGGGGGGAGGGGGTGTCTTTCTATGTAGCCCTAACTGGCCTGAAACTCCCTGTGTATACTAGGCTGGCCTTGAACTCACACAGATCTGCCTGCCTCTGTTTCCCAAGTGCTGGGATTAAAGGCCTGTGACTACCTTCTTTCTTTCTATTAATTAATTAATTTTCCCACTCAGATCACAGTTCCCCTCCCTCCATCCTCTCCTCCTAGTCCCACCCCAACCTCCCCTACTTTGTTTCTTTGTTCATATAAATGTTATTATTCTTAGGCGTGTATGAGGTGTGTGTATAAGTTTGCACATGTCATGGCACACATGTAGAGATTGGAGGTCCAGTTTGTGGAGCTGGTTCTCTCCTTCCACTTTTACGTTGGTTACTGGGGATCCAGTTCATGTTGTCAGGCTTGGCAGCAAGTGCTCTCCTCAGTGAGTCCTCTCACCAGCCCGCCGAGGCCTTAGAGGCTTTTTGTGGGGTGTCTGCACTCTCACAACCCAGCCCAACTTCACCTCTGTGATTGGATTTATCTTTCATCTGACTTCCACTTCTGCCAGCCCTAAAAAGTTTCTGGGCTGAAACATCGCTGTGGGGAGACTCCAGGGCTGAGGCTCAGTTGGCAGAGTGCTTGCCTAGCACACAGCTGGGTTCCATCCCCAGCACTGTATACAGTGGATGTAGTGACACACACCTGTCATCCTAGCACTAGGGAGGTAGAAGCTGGAGGATCAGGAGTTCAGGGTCATCCTTAGCTACATAATGAGTTGGAGGCCAGCCTAGGCTACATGAGCTTCTGTCCCAAAACAACAATAAATAACTAAAAATAAAAGGATTGGGAGTTAGAGACTGGTCTCAGAGCCCTTCCCATCCCCCTGTCTACAGTGACCCTCTTTTGGCCGGCCTACCCTGGGACTCTGACTACGGTGTATCTTATCTTAGCTCACCTCCTCCACTCTCCATCCCATCTTGGCCTGCCAAAGAGAAGAGAGGCAAGTACTGGTGTTCCTGGGGGGGGGGGCGGCTAGTATACAGCTAGAGAGCTGGGAGGGGCTGGTAATGGCAAGCTTTCTATCACTTGTCCCTGAAGGAAACCTTTCCCCCTATGGTCCTCCTCAGACAGGGCTTTGGATTGTATGACTCGCCGGTCCAGGACCTTGGAGCCTGAGATTGTGAACGCTGTTTCACAACAAGCATCAAAGTCTGTGTCATGGAGGCAAGAGTGGGATTTAACGTCTCAGCCTAATGAGGGTACCTCCTGTTCCAACTCAGACTCAGACTTCTACAAGGAACATAATCATGACCAGGACTTTGTGAAGAGGACCCACAGCACAACCAAGGTCATCTCCCCCATTAACCTAGGAATGCACTTGCTGTGTACCACTGTGGAGCATAGGGGAGGGGTTGCACAGCAGGGACCTTTGTGTAGTCTTCAGCACCTAGAACGGTACTTCTAGAGGGAGGAAAAAGGAACAGAAGGAAACCTATTTGTGTGTCTTATTTATTTTGAGAAAGTCTCTTGTGGCCCAAGCTGACCCTGACTTGCTCTGTAGGCAAAGTTGGATTTGAACTCCTATTTCTTCTGCATCCATCTCCAGAATGCTAGGATTATAGGATGGAGACAATATGTCTGACTTTCATATTTTGAAGGTTTTGAAGGTGTGTGTGTGTGTGTGTGTGTGTGTTCACTTGATTGCAATTCCCTTCAAGTCTAGAAGAGGGCATCATCCAGACGTTGGTGGCATACGCCTTTAATCCCAGCACCTGGAAGGCAGAGGCAGGCAGGCTCCAAAGCTACACAGAGGGGCTGGAGAGATGGCTCAGAGGTTAAGAGCACTGGCTGCTCTTCCAGAGGTCATGAGTTCAATTCCCAGCAACCACATGGTGGGTCACAATCATCTGTAATGAAATCTTCTTTGGTGCCCTCTTCCCTCTTCTGACATGCAGGCAAATATGCAAGTAGGACATTGTATACATAATAAATAAATAAAATCTTTAAAAACAAAAAGCTACACAGAGAAGCCCTGTCTGGAAAAAAACAAAACAAAACAAAACAAAAACTGAAGAGGGCATCAGGTCCCTGGAGCTGAAGTTCAGGTAGTTGTGAGCCTTCCAACTTGGCTACTTGGGTCTTCTTCAAAAGCATTATGCTCTTTAAACAAAACAAAATAAACAAAAAACAGAGTGTAGCCCTTGGCTGGTCTAGAACTCACTATGTAGACCAGACTGGCCTCAAGCTCACAGAGATCTTCCTGTCTCTGCCTCCCAAGCACTGGATTTAAAGGCATGTGCTCCAATGTCTCACCCTGATTTTAAGTCCTCTCTCTCTCTCTCTCTCTCTCTCTCTCTCTCTCTCTCTCTCTCTCTCTGTGTGTGTGTGTGTGTGTGTGCAGTGTTTCTTAGTTCTTGTATCTATGTGGTTTCTGATTGTGTGAGACTCATACTTGTGTCTAAAATTGTGTGTAGGTGGCTGATGGCGTCCAACAGCAGCTTGTGGTGGTATGTCAAGTGCTGATGGTGTCCTCTATGGACATTGCTGTCACTGATGTCTTGTACCTTAAGGAGAAAGGTCAAACCAGGGACAGCCTAGCATCTGCTTTCTGTCAGGGTCAATCCAGGGGCCATAGACATGTGATATGAGACATACAAGCACACTCTGAGCATGTGCAGATGATGAACTTGGAGGTAGGGGCAGTGGATGAATCCCCTAGACACAGTTTGGCTGAATTCCTGGCTAAGGATAACCAGAATTCAAGAGAACCATTTTTGTCCTTCCCTCCAACCTGCATCAAGGTAAGCTATCTGGGAATACATCACCACTCTCCTCTTCTCCTCTTTCCCAGAAGTCCCTGGAGCCCTGCTCTTCCAAAGTAAAAGGCGAGCACCCTCTTCCTGGTGAGACTGGAAGGCAGCCCCTCTTAATTTTTCCTTTACTTTTATTTACTTCCTGTATTTGAGTGTGTGTGTGCCGTGGTACACCTTTGAAGGTCAGAGGACAATTTACCATGGCCTCGTACCCTGTGAGGCCATGGGTTCAAACTCAGGTCTTGGTGGCAAGTACCTTCACCCACAGAGCCATCTTGCATGCCCCCTACTTCCACTTTCTTCTCCAGAACCAAGGCCCAAGGGGTCCCCTGCTCTATACATGCCCCTCTCCCTCCTCTGATACCCCATCTCTGCCCTGATCTTACCTGATCCCCCTTGCCATTGCCCACAGTTAAGAACACCATGCTAATCCCTGACTCTCAGAAGTTCTTTCAGTGTGAACTAGAGTCCCTCAGGACCCAGTTGCAGGCTCAAACCAAGGTGAGCCCCTCTACCACCTCTGCACCCCTGTTCTCCTCCTCCCCCTCCGCATTCCAGGGCTTCACATCCTCCTCTTGCTCCACAGGCTTTCGAATTCCTGAACCACTCTGTGACCATGCTGGAGAAGGAGAGCTGCCTACAGCAGATCAAAATCCAGCAGCTTGAAGGTAAGGACTAGATGGAAACCAAGGTCTGAGTGAGTTTGGAAGTCAGTAAAAATAAGTTCTAGGTCAAGATCAGACAGCACCAGGGACAGCTGAGTCAAGACTGGCCTCAGGCCCATAGCTGGTTCCCACATTTTTGGGCTGGGCTGGGCCTCAGTTGGTAGAGCACTTGCCTAACATGTATGAAGTCCTGGATTCCACCTCCAGCATGGAATAACACTGGACCTGGTGGTGCATGCTGTGATCCCAGCACTTGGGAGATGGAAGCAGGAGGATTAGGAGTTCAAGGCTACCCTCATCTAATTAGAGAGTAGATGTCAGCCTCGATAGAGATCTGTCTGGAAAACCAAAAACCAAGAGAGCCCTGGGGCTGAGAGATGGCTTCTCAGTGAAGAGCACTAGCTGCTTTTGCAGAAGACCCAGATTGTGTTCCCAGCATCAAAAATATGGTGGCTCACACCCTCTGTATTGTCAGTTCCAGGGCATAGGACACACACTTCTAGCCTCCATGGGCACCAGGTAAAACACCTCTGAAACATAAACCACATAAAATAGAAATATGTAATCTTAAAAAGTCAAGAAGTTCCAGGGCTGGGGAGACAGCTGTTACCAAAATGCTTGCCATGCAGGCATGAGGACCTGGGTTTATCTCCAGAATTCAAGTTTGTGGGGCACACTTGTCATCCCAGTTCTGCGGAGGTGGAGGCAGGAGGAATCCTGGGGCTCCCTAGCTCCAACTTTGGAGCTCCAGGCTCAGTGAGAGATCCAGTCTCAAAAGATAAGGTGGAGAAGAATTGAGGACGGCATCCAGTTTTGACTTGGGACCTCCCTTCCTTCACACACATCCCCGTGTCTGTGTACCTGTCACACACCTATGCAAAACATGTGAACATATACATACATGTGCTGCCGCACACAAAAATAAAGTCAAGGGTCTCCCACCCTCTCTACAGAAGTGTGGAGCCCCTTAAGCCTCCAAGGAGAGAAGGAAGGCCGTAAGAGGGCTGAAGACCAGAGTCAGCAGGAGCTGCATGGGGCTCTGGCCCAAGGCCTGCAGGAATTGCAGAAGACACTGAGGGACAGTGAGGAGCTCCAACAGGCCCGTACCACTCGCTGCCTGCAGCTGTTGGCCCAGGAAATCCGGGACAGGTGGGTGTGGACAGGAGGGCAGTGTGGAGGTTGCAAGAAAGCAGGCCACCATTGAGGGAACTTAATGGAGCAGGGAGCGGAAGGCTTGGGAGAAACGACACAGAAACAGGACAGGTTGCTCCATGGGACATTGGTGGCTAGGTAGAGGGTGTTGAGTCTAAGGGACTACAAGGTAAGGGAGACAGCAAGCTGGAGATGGGTTGGGGGAGGAGGCAGTGCATCAGAAGACTGAGGGAAGTGGAGAGGCTGGAGAGTGGAAATCAGGAGAGAACAAGGCTGGGAAGATCCAGGTAGGAAGGGGAAAGTAGACTGCGAGGTGAAGGCACGGACCCCAGGGCTGTGGGCGGAGTCTGGGGCTGTGGGCGGAGCCTGGGCTGGGTGGAGCCTCGGGCTGTGGACCTTTTCTGAGGCTATAGGCGAGGCCTCAGGTGCTGTGGGTGGAGCCTGGTACCCTGGAAGGAGCTAGGGCGGAGGGAAGAGCCTGTAGCTGTAAGTGGGTTTGGGCAGATGCGGACGTGGGCGGCCTGGGAAATGGGCTGGGAATGTGGGTCTAGGCTCCTCTCTCCCCTCAGCAAGAAGTTCCTGTGGGAGGAACTGGAGTTGGTGCGGGAAGAAGTGACTTTCATCTATCAGAAGCTCCGTGAGTGCCTGAAAGCCCGCGGCTTGGAAGGGGTGGGGCTCCTCTGCTTCCTCTGTCCACTGAGCTCTCGCCCCAACAGAGGCCCAGGAGGATGAGATCTCAGAGAACCTCTTGAATATCCAGAAGATGCAGAAAACACAGGTGAAGTGCCGAAAGGTAAGTAGAGAAAATGAGGGATTGTGGGACGTGGGGCAGGCACATGGGAGGTTCCTCATGCTTCCACCATTGGACTGATTCTAGGAGGTAGAATTCAAATCCCAGCTCTGCCATTTAGTGCTGTTATTATGGGTAAATCACTTTCTTTCCAGACCTCAATTTGCCTCTGCATATAATGGGTGTAATAGCTGCGACCCTTCCCCCATCAGAAAGTTGTGTTCGTTGAGGGTTCCATGCTCTCAATACAGCCGAGGATAAAAGTGCAACATCATGAGTACGTTTCTCTTTGGTCATCATTGCATGTGTGTTTAATTGCTTGTTCCCCTAACTCCCTCCCGAACCTCAGGTTCTGACCAAGATGAAACAGCAGGCTTATGAGCCATGTTCATACCCAGAGGCTGAAGAGGTGCTGGCAGAAGGCAATTGCACCTGGAAGGATGATTTACAGAAGGAGTTGAGCAACATATGGTGAGACCAGCCTCCAGTCTGACCTCTGACCCCTAGCCCTCCTCTAGCCACCCCCCTCCACGATGCTTCTGGAACACAGTTAGTTCTAGTCCTGCCTAGTTTTCCTAGGCATCACCCTCTCCACAGCCTTCCTTACCCTAGCTCCAATTCTGGGGTACCCTGGATACCCCAGTGTCTCTTGGGGTCCCTGTCTCTCTGTCTCCCTACAGGTCTGCTGTCCACAGTCTGCAGAACTCGATCGACTGTCTTGCCTTGTCTATGGGCACCAGGCCCAGGGCTTCCTGTCTCAAGGGTGAGGGGTTGAGAGTAATGGGGAGGTGGTGGGGAGGTCATTCTCTTCAGAGGCCTTCAGAGGGTCACGTTGGCTGGAGTCTTGTTCCAGGGCTACACTGACAGATTTTGAAGGCCTATAATCCCAGAAATTGGGGGTGGGGAGGTAAAAGAGAACACCAAGCTCAAGGCCAGCCTGAGCTACATAGACCTGTTTCATGCAGGACCTGATTGGGGTCACATTTAGGATCTGTGAGATTTTTTTTTAAGTCTCTTGGTATTTTTAAGTATCGTCTCACATAGCCCAGACTAACGTAAACTCACTATGTAGCCAAGGATGACCTTGAACTCCTGATCCTCCTGTTTCAGGCTCCCCAGGGATTACAGATATATGCCACCATTTTTAGCTCTATGGGATATTTTTAAGATGCATTTTATTACCAGGGGTTGGTAGTGCCCACCTTTAATCCCAGCACTCTGGAGGCAGAGGCAGGTGGATCTCTGTGAGTTCGAGACCAGCCTGGTCTACAGAGCTAGTTCCAGGGCAGCCTCCAAAGCCACAGAAAGAAACCCTGTCTTGAAACCCACCCCTCCCCTCAAAAAAGATGTATTTTATTTTATTTATGTGTGTGGGTGTTTTGCATATATTTATGCACCACCTGCATGCCTGGTGCCCTCAGGGACCACAAGAAGGCATCAGATCCTCTGGAACGGGACTGTCCTCTGGAAGAGCAGCTAATAGCACTTTTAACTACTGAGCCACCTCTCTGGCCCCTTATGGGATCTTTTTAAGGGAACATTTCAAGGATCATTGATATAATTTGGTATAACTTTGGGCCATATAAGGGATGTGGGTGTCTGGATCATGAATTGGTATAGTTTCATCTCAAGGGATGCTGAGTCCATATTCTGACGTTGCTAGGGGGTCATATTCAGGGTCTGAAGAGCCAAGAGGGCATGTCTTTCCCACAGGCCACAAGGGACACCTGTGCCTGTCTTCTCAGTACCCCTCCTGGGACTCCGATTCTGACTGGGAGACACCTTTCAGCAAGAATGGATCCTATCCTCCTGGTACAGACCCTCCTCAGCCCCTCTCTAACCCTTACCATCTGCCCCCCCCCTTGTGATTCCCACAGTGTAGGCCTTGAGGCTGGCACTCTGTCTGAGCATCTGGTCCTTGACTGGCAGCCCTGAGTTCTGGATAAAGCCAGACCATGACCTACCTTCTCTCCCCATAGCTTGAGCAGCTGGGACTGCTTGCCCTGAAGACCCCTCCAGAGAGAAAATAAACTAGCTGAGACCTTCCTCCATCCTGGACTTTTGCATCTGCTGGTTCAAGAATACCAGGTCCTCCCCATGCCACCCCTAGCTGACTTCTTGGTGTCTCAAAAGATGCAGAGACTAGGGCACTTTTGAGTATGTGTGGGTCTAGTTTGGACAGTGAGACAAGATTTAGAGTGTGTCCGTTGGGCATGCAATCCTGCATTTAGAAGGTAGATGGACGCAGGCTTATCTGTTCAAAGTTAGCACAGCATGTATGAGACCAGCCTAGGCTAGAGGAGACTGTCTCAAAAACACAGAAGTGAGCCAGCCAAATGGCTCAATGGGTAAGGCAATTGCCACTAAGTCTGAAGACCTGAGTTTGATCCCAGGGACCCTCACAATGGTAGGAGAGAACCGACTTATGCAAGTTGTCCTCCAACCTCTAAATGCACACAAAACATGGCACACACACCAATAAATATAATTTAAAAAATTTAAAAACACAAAATCAGGGCAGCGCTTGCTTAGCATACACGAAGCCTTGGGTTCCAACCCCAACACCATACAAACCAGATGTGGTGGAACAGACTTCTAAAATTCCAGCACTCAAGGAGGATCCCAAGCTCAAGGCCAGCACTGACTACAAAGAGAATTGGAGACCAGCTTGGGCTTCATGAGACCCTGTCACAAACTCAAAAATGGACCTCGTTATCCAAATAGTCTTTCAGGATCTCGATGCCCAAATGGGGTGAGGCATGGCATGGGGTGCCCTTTGAGGAGGCTGAGCTCCTCTCTTCCCTCAGCCTACCCCACCCATCTCTGTCTCCATTCTTTTCCCTTCCAACCTCTGCCTGCTTCATTGAGTTATGCAAATGAACGTTCTATAGCTCCGCCCTAACACTCTGAACAACTCCCGGTCCATATTGTTATGCAAATGAGGAGACCATTGTCCCCGCCCACCTGGCTAACAGACACTGTGGGCCCGCCCTCATGGGTTATGCAAATGATATCCCATTTCTCCGCCCCACTGGATTATGCAAATAAGGCTCTGTGGTCCCGCCCCTGCCTCTGCCACGGAGTCTGCGCGGAGCTGCAAGCACCGCTGTCCAGATTTCTCCGTCTCCACGTCCGCCTGCCTGACCAGCGGTCTCTCGGACTGTCCTGCGGTGCCGGGACCGTGTAGACGGAGCGGGGGCTCAGGCGGCGGCGGCCTAGACAGGGTGAGGGAGGAGCGTGGGCGCCTCTTCTTCCCAGCACCGGGGCTGCCCGGCCCGGGCACGCAGGTCCAGACCG